AGGCTTCCCGCCGAGCAGGGAGCCCGATGCGGGGCTCGATCCCAGGACCCCGGGATCATGACCTGAGCCGAAGGCAGACGCTCAACGCCTGAGCCACCCAGGCACCCCAGCCAGAGGGAGAAGCAGGCTTCCCGCTGAGGAGGGAGCCGATGCGGGGCTCGATCCCAGGACCCCGGGATCATGACCTGAGCCGAAGGCAGACGCTCAACGCCTGAGCCACCCAGGCACCCCAGCCACAGTTTTTTTTAAAAAAGATTTTTTTTTGTTTTTTTTAAAGGTTTTATTTATTTATTTGAGAGAGAGAGAGAGCATGAGAGGGGGGAGGGTCAGAGGGAAAAGCAGACTCCCTGCTGAGCAGGGAGCCCGATGTGGGGCTCAACGTGGGGCTCGATCCAGGGTCTCCAGGATCATGACCTGAGTTGAAGGCAGTTGCTTAACCAGCTGAGCCACCCAGGTGCCCTAAAGGTTTTATTTTTGAACAATTTCTACACCCAACATGGGGCTCCAACTCACAACCTCAAGATTAAGAGTTGCATGCTCTACCGACTGAGCCAGTCAGGGGCCCCTCAGCCACGACTTTTAAAAATGTGTTCCTCTAGTTTTTTGTTTATATTTTTGGCTAGGATCCCATAAATTTTAATGCCCCCAGAATATTTTGTTTCCTTTAAAAAATTTGTCAAAGCATACAAGTCTTATCACATTTATAACATCAAAGTTAAGATGATAAATATCCAACACTTTTTACAACAGTGCCTTTACCCTAGTTATTTCAGTGCTTACAAGAAATGAATTAACTGTGCATTTTATTTTTTTAGAACTCTACAATAATGATGAATTAGTTAGAATCATTGTCCCTATTTTACAGATGAGCAAAGTGAGGAACAGAGAAGCTGTTTTGTCTCAAGTCTCATCCAGTAAGAGATAGAGCTGAGATGCAAATACAGGCAGTTGGATCCAGAATCTATGTTCTTTTTTTTTTTATACAGATTTTATTTATTTATTTGAGAGAGAGAGAGAACAGAGGGAGAGTGAGAGGGAGAAGCAGACTCCCCACCAAGCAGAGAGCCCGATGCAGGGCTCAATCCCAGGACCCTGAGATCATGACCTGAGCTGAAGGCAGACGCTTAACTGACTAAGCCACCCAGGCACCCCCAGAATCTATGTTCTTTACCAGGGAACTATGTTGCCTCTTGTCTAAAGTTATAAAGAAAAGATCAAATATAACTTAGGATAAAAAAGAATTTTCATACAGCAAATTTTTTCTTTCTAGCTACCCAAATTATTTCTTTCTAGCTACTTAACATACTTTTCTACATAACTCAATCTACAATGTATACAAATTTAGCTCTTTTCTGCTTTTTCCAAACATAGTATTTTTCACAATATTTGTAATAATCATTATTCTTTTAAATGTGTGTCCTAGAATTGATTTATTTCTTCCTCTACTGCTGGACCTATAATTTCTAATTTTCAGAAATAACACTGTCACAAATGTATTTCCACACAAAACTTTTTTTTTTTTTTAAAGATTTTATTTATTTGAGAGAGAGAGAGCACAAGCAGGTAGGAGGAGGAGAGGGAGAAGCAGATTCCCCACTGATCAGGGAGCCTGATGCGGGCAAGACCCAAACTTTTTTTTAGCATTTGAGGCTGTCTTCTTAGTACAAATGAATGAAACTAGAATTACTGGATCAAAGGGAAGTAATAATTAAATCTCTTATCTTGAAATACATACTGACTGGGCTATACAAATCTATACTTCTATCTGTAGTATGTAAGCACCCATTTCAATGTACTTCACCAGCATTTGCTTTTCTTTTTACAAAGATCTTTGTTATTTAAAAAGGTGAAAAATGGGAATTTTTGAAAACGAAATTTTTTTTTTAAAGATTTTGTTTATTTGACAGAGAGAGACACAGCAAGAGAGGGAACACAAGCAGGGGGAGTGGGAGAGGGAGAAGCAGGCTCCCCACCTAGCAGGACCCTGGGATCATGACCTGAGCTGAAGGCAGATGCGCAACGACTGAGCCACCCAGACACCCCGAAAAAGAAAATTTTCATTTCTTTGATTATTTTGCTCCTTTCTGTCCATTCATCTGTTGGGATCTTTTTCTCTTACTGATTTTTATATATGTTCTTCCTATTTTAAACATATTAGCCCCTTTATCTCATTTGCAGCCTACTTCTTGCATTTGTATTTTGACAATTTTTACCTCACTTGTGATTTCATTTGGATATAATGTTGAGGGGCTGTATAATTTCAAATCAGCATATAAGAAAATGTTTGTTAACCACTCAGTTCATGGACATAAAAAAATCCCCAACCTACTCATATAATTAGGTTTTATTTAGAACTATTAGATATTTCATCACAAAATTAGTAACTAATTTTTAATACACATTTTCAAACACACAGGACTATATACCACAAAGATTAAGATGATCAAATAAAATTTTTTTATTAAACTGGTCATCTCAGAGAATGAATCTGTTTCTGACAGAAACCTCAAGACAAGCGCTGGTGAAACCTTACAGAGTTTGAATATGAATTTACCTATACCTTGTTCTTCAAGAACCTAAAGTCTGTATCTATACCACAAGCATTCCTCTAAAAGGGCTATTATTTCCTCTTATGGAACAGTATCTATGCTTACCATTTACAGATCTCAAGGTTGGAAGAGGCATTAATTTCTTCTACTTTAACTTTGCTCTAGAAGAAATTCATACCAAGTGGCCATTTTCCAACCTATGCCTGAACAGCATAACGGACAGAGCTGTCAAGACACCAGAATACCCATGCCTGAAAATCCAACTCCCTCCAGTGGTCTCGAGGTCTACTCAAAAAAATAACAGGGACCACTACCTCCTTTTAAAAGGAATATGAATAATCATTTCAAAAAATAAGTAACCTTTAAAAGACAAAAAACAGGGACACCTGGGTGGCTCAGTTGGTTGAGTGTCCAACTGCTGATTTCAGCTCAGGTCATGATCTTAGGGTCGTAAGATCAAGCCCAGTGTAGGACTCCACACTCATCGCAGAATCTGAGATTCTCTCTCTCTCTCTCTGCCTCTCTCCCTCTACCCCTCCCCCTGATCGTGCACACATTCTCTAATAAATAAATAAATTTTAAAAACAAGTAAGTAAAAAATAAAAGACAAAAAACACTGCTGCTTTATCTTAATATCAGATACCCATTCCATTACCTTTTGAAATAGTTAGTGCTGGAGACCACTGTGACCGGAGAATATCAAGACAAATGCTGCCATTACTGTTAATATTTGGATGATAAATTCTTGTTGTAAATGCAACCTATAGAAAAAAGAAAAACTTCTTGTGAAATGGTTTATTAATATCATAGGAAGTACATCAAAAAAACAAGTGCCATATCCCAATTACCTTAGGTGGCTTGAAGGGGTAATCTGTTGGGAAATGAATTGTCAAGAAAAATACTCCACCCTGATAGGGACTGTCATTCTGTTGATAACAAGAAAAGTGGGATTAAAATGAGTGAATTATATAAACATTTATTCTGAAATCAATCTGAATACTTACTGGCCCCATTATTGTAGCTTGCCAATGGAACACTGAAAAAGAACAAAAAATCACCATGAAGCAGTATCTCCAATGTACCTACACCATAATGACATATCATTCCCTGTCTAACCCAGTTCATTTATAAGCAATATGATAAGTCCTGGGCAAGATGAGGAATCTAAATCAAGTTTGAGTCTGAAGAGAGAAAAGAAAATGACTAGTATAGTCTAGAACACTGATAAGGTACTCAATGAGAAAGTATTTGGGCTAGAACATCATGAAAATTTGTATCAGGGAGACAAAATTCTTGACAAGGCCCAAGGTTTCATTTTTTTTTTTTTTAAAGATTTTATTTATTTATTTGAGAGAGAGAGAGAGCAGAAGCAGGGGGAGCGGCAGGCAGGGGAGAGGGAGAAGCAGGCTCCCCGATGTGGGGCTCGATCCCAGGACCCTGGGATCATGACCTGAGCCAAAGGCAGACGCTTAACAACTGAGCCACCCAGGCGTCCCTCAAGGTTTCTCTTTTAAACAGGCATTTCTTACCTCTAAGGGTAAAAAAGAACCAAAAGATTCAACTCTTTAACTTGTTATGTCATTTCCCCAACACACTAATATATAATATACTCCTTTTATAATACTGGTATAGAGGAGGACTGTAAAGTCAAAGTAGATAATATTCAAATTAGGAAAGACTCGTTTTTATAGCAAGAAAAAACTTCTGAGAGCACTCATGTATTGGTCTTTAGAATTACTAGTCCCTCACTAATAGATGAAAGATCAATAATTATGTCTCTTTTTAAAATGATCTAGAATCTACAACATCAACAAAGCAGAGAAAGACAAACTAAACTAAAACCACATTAAGATGGAATTTAATTAACAAAAGCACCTGAAGACCTACCATTAAAATCTTAATTGAATATTCTGCTACACAGGTCAAATATAAGAATACCTACTGGAATCACTGACTTAGGTCTCTCTCTGGAGCTCTCCTACACTCCTAGATCTCCTTGTGGAAGTATAAAAAAGAAAGGAAGAAGGTAGTGGGAGAATATCTAATCCTGACTCAAATTCTAATGGTTTGGTAAATAGTTCCAAAAATCACTACAGATTATGGGGTGCCTGGGTGGCTCAGTCGGTTAAGTGTCTGCCTTCAGCTCAGGTCACGATCTCAGGGTCCTGGGATCAAGCCCCACATCGTGCTCTCTGCTTCTTCCTCTCCCTCTGCTGCTCTCCCTGCTCATGATCTCCCTGTTCGTGATTTCCTGCTTGTGCTCCCTTGCTCGTGCTCTCTCTCAAATAAATAAAATCTTTTAAATTAAAAAAAAAATCACTACAGATTTAAAAAAAAAAATCACCACAGGTTTCAAGTAGAAAGAACTCTCCAGAAATAGTTACTGGGCAAAATATGTGGCCATAAGCATAAAATATTGTTGTATTTTATATGAACAACTATATCTCAAAAACCTTTAAGGATCAATCTTAGCAGCTGTTAGAAATAAAAAATGGTAATGAATTACAAAGTTTTGTTAGTTCCAAAACCAGCAAAAACAAACAAACGAAAACTCCACCCTGGTTTGACGATGAAAACCAAATTACAGAAACTAAAAGCTATGACGACCTCTTTTATGAGAGTTTAAATGTGAAGTTCACAGCTCAATGATTACTCTTTAGGATACTCAAAGATGAAGCTTTAAGCCTAAAAGGGAACAAGAATATTTGTTATAGTTTGAGACTGGATCTCAGGAGAACTACATTTGAATTCAAGTACAGATCTCCAGAGAGATTCACCAAAATTTCAAAACAAAAGAAAATGAAGCAGATTGTATGACCAATAAATCTTTGGCTTACTTTTCCTTTCAGGGCCTATACTCTCTCCTGCTTACCAGATCTTCACAGAAAAATGGGAAAAAATATAATGGTACATTAAAATCTGGTATTTAAAAATAAAGCACTGTATTACTAAGTTCATTATTCTTCCTTCTTTATTTTTAAAGTAATCTCTACGCCCAATGTGGGGCTAAAATTCACAACCCTGAGATCAAGAGTTGCATACTCTACCATGTGAGCGAGCCAGGTGCCCCTATATTATTTTAAATATAAAATAAGGACTACCTTCTCACACTAAATATCAATAATGTGCTGAAGGATTTGAGAGCTAGAAGAGTCAAAAGGAGCTCAAAAAGTTTCGTTGTAACCAACAGTTTCTCTTTTCTGAAGATTAAATTCTGCCTCCTTATAATATTTAGCTACCCAATTACACTCTGTTTTATCCTTAAACAATTCATCAGAAGACCTTATCAAGACTTTTTGACAGTAATTTATCTCAACTGTTCTCAAACACTCCCTAAAGTTTTCAGTATTATATCAGCAAAGACTATCTAGATGACCAAGTGTAAGGAAGTTATACTGTTCCTAAGGAGGAGATTTTTCTTATTCTCTTAGAAGGTAGGTACTGTTGACAGTTCAGTGGTAGGTGAATCAAGACACTTAAATAGAAAGGCTAGGAGTGAAAGGAGAGCTATTATTTTTTAAATAGCCGTAGAGAGATAATCCATATACCACAGAATTCACCCACTGAAAAGTGTACAATTCAGTGGTGTTCAGAACATTCACAGAGTTGGGCAACCATCACAATTAATTTTAGAAATTTTCATCACCCCCAAAGGAAACCCCATATCCATATGCAGTTACTCCACATTCCCCCCAAATCTCTAGTTCTATGCAACCATTATCTATTTTCTGTCTCTATGAATTTATTCTGGATATTTCATATAATGGAACCATACAATATGTGGCCTTTTATATCTGGCTTCTCTCACTGGGCATGTTTTTAAGGCTCATCAATGTTGTAGTATATATCAGTACTCCCCTTTTTATTGACATGTAATATACCACTGTATGGACATACAGTCTATTTATCCCTTCATCAGATGGTGGACATCTGGATTATTTCCACATTTTGGCTATTACAGCTGCTGCTTCTATGAACATTAATGCACAAGTTTTTGTGTGGACATGTTTTCATTTTTCTTGGATATATACCTACGAGTGAACTCACTGGGTCATATGGTAACTCTGTTTAACTTTTTGAGGACCACTCGTTTTTTGAACTGGTTGTACCATTTTACATTACTATTAGCAATGTATGAAGGTTCCAATTTCTCCACAACCTCATCAACATTTATTATCTGACCTTTTGATTCTAGCCATCCTAGAAGGCATAAAGTGCTATTTCATCACAGATGTGATTTGCATTTCCCTGATGACTAATGATACCGAGCATCTTTTCCATGTGCTTACTGGCCAATTGCACATCCTCTTTAGCAGATCCTTTGCTTATTAAAAACAATAATGGATTATTTATCTCTATATTGTTGAGTTACAAAGAGTTTTAAAATGTTTTGAATAAACTTCCTTATCAGAGAGATGACTTGCACAAATTTTCTCTCATCCTGTTTTCACTTTCTTGATGGTATCATTTGCAGCACCTAAATTAAATTTCATTAAAATGTAAAATTTACCTATTTTTTCTTTTCATTGCTTATGCTTTGGGGGAGTTTTATTTAATTCTCAAGGATAATAACTTTTCTATCTGAGAAAGGAATGTGATAATAACAACTATGTGAAGCAAAGGCCAATTATTCAGCACACTGAAGAGAACTTCAAAAATGCATTCTATGCCCCAGACTTCAAACACTTCTAATGAAAGATCAGCCACTCTCAACTTTGAGGAATGTACCGGAAATAAAACCACTTTTTCAACTGAAAGACCACAATGATGCAGGTGGACTGTATGATACCATAAATGACAAAACTAAAATCAGAAAACTTGAGAATGAGGGGCACCTGGGTGGCTCAGTCAGTTAAGCATCTGCCTTCAGCTCAGGTCATAATTTCAGGGTCTTGGAAAGGAGCCCTACATCAGGCTCTATGCCCAGTGGGGAGTCTGTTTCTCCCTTTCCCTCTGCCCTTCCTGCTCGTGTGTTCATGTTCTCTCTCAAATGAATAAATAAAATACTTTTTAAATTTTTTTAAAATTTTATTTATTTGAAAGAGAGAAAGAGAGAGCACAAGCAGGGGGAGCAGGAGAGGGAGAAGCAGGCTTCCTGCTGAGCAGGGAGCCCGGCGTGGGGCTCTATCCCAGCACCCTGGGATCATGATGCGAGCCAAAGACAGACAACTGAGCCACCCAGGTGCCCCAAATAAAATCTTAAAAAAAAAAGAAAAGAGGGCGCCTGGGTGGTTCAGATGGTTAGGCATCTGCCTTCGGCTCAGGTCGTGGTCCCAGGGTTCTGGGATCGAGTCCCGCATCAGGCTTCCTGCTCAGTGCAGGGCCTGCTTCCCCCTCTCCCTCTGCCATTCCCTCTGCTTGTGCTCCTCTATCTGTCAAATAAATAAAATCTTAAAAAAAAAAAGAAAACTTGAGAATGAGCCCACTTTGGAAACCACCATGAGCCTCTCTCACTAGATTCTTCTCTAAAATAGTTTACAATTTCTACTCCACTCACCTAAAAGACCTATTGTGAGGCTTAAATGAGATAATGCGTGTTAAATTACTTGGCCTATCCTGTTTGGTATCAAACACTATAGTTACTCATACTGGACAAATATGGATAATGTAAATGGGATTTTTTTTTATATGTACTTAGCTTTATAATTTATACCATCTATCTGTTTATATGTAAAGCAATCCCTGTAAAAGGGCCTTGCTTTCTTTTTTTAAAAAAAAATTTTATTTAAAAAAAATAAAAATTTTATTTAAGTTCAATTTAGTTAACATATAGTGTGTTATAATATTTTCAGAGGTAGAATTTAGTGATTCATCAGTTGCATATAACACCGAGTGCTCATTACATCAAGTGCCCTCCTTAATGCCCATCACCCAATTATCCCTTCCCCCCATGCCCCCTCTCCTCCAGCAACCCTCAGTTTGTTTCCTATAGTTAAGAGTCTCTTTATAAGTTTGCCTCCCTCTGCTTTTAATCTTATTTTTCCTTCCTGTCCCCTTTGAGTCTTAAGTTTGGCAAACCAAAACCAACATTCTTAAGCAAAATCAGGAAAAAGTGTTAAACACAAGCTAATATAACCTCTTATTTATTGTCTTAATGTATATACTTCTCTTACAAAATTGTTTCCAAGTATCTTCTTTTTTCCTATTTGCTAAATATTACTTTTTTGTGAATCAGTTTTGTGTCATAAAGCACAGTCTGGTTCAAATATCCTCCTTTTAAAAGAGGCTAGAAGATGGTATAAGGGGAAAAACTGTTGAGACAAAGTTAAACAAAAGGAAAATTATTATCCAACATGTGTGATAAATTATTTTATATAGGATTAAGCAGATAAACCGGACATTAGAAATAAACTACCTGTCTTCACAAGCATGAACCAGTGGAAGGACAAACACCATATATAAACACACACACACACTCCACTACCCCCCATCATCCTAAGTTATTATTTTACTTAAAGAACAATAGCTAGTTGTAAGTAAAACCTCAAATATTTGACCCCAGGAAAACACCCAGAAGAGTTGAAGGATACGTAGGAAGTGGTTAGAACAACTACACAGACAATATCTGGCAAAAAAGGTTCAAAATTAATACTAGAGAAGAAGATGGGATACATACAGAACTGCATCTTTCGCGGATAAGTAAGGGTAAACACTGCCTCTTTCTGCAGCCTAATTGTTTTTTCACATAAAAAAGAATCTTAAGAGATATATTCATCAGTCCCAGAGTTCCCCAGAGGCAGATGGTTATGCAGTTTTACTCCATCATTCCTTTTAAATACTTACTATCATCTCCAACAGGACCTGCTGAACACTGTGCTGGGGGGTCCCGTGCCAGGTCATTCAATTCCTCAAGAAAACAGAAAGAAAAGAAATATATTCAACATAAATGTAACTTTAACCAATTAATAAAATTTTCACTCATACCAATATTGTCTATCCCACTACTAAAATTTTTTTTAAGGAATACTCCTCCAAAGTCAGAGAGGGATGGATTTGTGAATCTTCAAGTTACAGTATTTTGGGAAAAGGCGAAAGATTTATACGATCTGAAGAGAAACCAGAGTTTTGGATTCTTCTTCTTTTTGGGGGGGGGTGGGGGAGAGAGAGAATCTTAAGCAGGCTCCACACCCAGCACAGAGCCCAATGTGGAGCTCGATCTCACAACCCTGAGATCATGACCTGAGCCGAAACCAAGAGTCAGACGCTTAAATGACTGAGCCACCCAGGTGCCCCAGTATTTTGGATTCTTGAATGCAAATGTATGTTTAAAAAGTGGGTCATTTTTGCTTTGTTCAGAGTTTAATAAGTAACTATAAGAAAAGTAAACATGTATTAAATACTAAAGAGCTATAACAATGGTTTCAAAGTAAAAAAAATTACTAGTTTTCAAAAAAGAAGTTGAATTTCAAGGCTAGTTTTTGAACCAGAAAACTATTAGGCTACCCTTAGGACGAGTTCTTGAAGTCATCAATGTTTCAAATGATATGAGACAATCTGACAAGATGCTGGGTATCTTTTCAGCTGATATGGACTACCAGGGTTCCAAAGGTAGTTGAAAAAATTTAAAAAGGGATATATTGAAAAGGCTGGATATATTAAAAAAGCTGAAGTAATAAAGCCCATCACAAAATTTTGTAGTCAGAGACAGATCTACCTGTAGTAATGCTCTACAACCAGATACCAGCTTCTTAGCCATTTTAACATTAAGAGCCCACAAACCTGAGATTTGTTATTGGGTGGGAATTCCTGAAAAAACCACAAGGCAGGAAATCATATTCTATTCCTTTCCCTCTTGGCTTGGTATTGGAGATTAAAACCAACGGCTAGTTTTAGATTATGATTTTTTTTTTAAGATTTTATTTATTTATTTGACAGAGAGAAAGCACGAGCAGGAGATAAGGGTAGAAGGAGAAGCAGACACCCTGTCAAGCAGGGAGCCCGATGCAGAACTCGATCCTAGGACTCTGGAATCATGACCGGAGCTGAAGGCAGACACTTAACTGAATGAGCCATCCAGGTGCCCTGGATTATGTTTTTAATTTAAAAAAAAATTTTTTTTTAAGATTTATTTATTTATTTGAGAGAGAGAGAATGAGAGATAGAGAGCACGAGAGGGAAGAGGGTCAGAGGGAGAAGCAGACTCCCCGCTGAGCAGGGAGCCCGACGCGGGACTCGATCCCAGGACTCCGGGATCGTGACCTGAGCCGAAGGCAGTCGCTTAACCAACTGAGCCACCCAGGAGCCCTAAAAAAAATTTTTTAAGTAATCTCTATACCCAACGTGGGGCTCAAACTCATGACCTCGAGATCAAGAGTTGCATGTTCAACCAACTGAGCCAGACAGGTACCCCAGATTATATTTTTAAATGACAAAAGTAAAAACAGTAAAATCTAGTATTTTAAAAGTACAACAGAAAGTATTCAGAGCCCATGGGGCTCAGTCAGACGTCTGATTCTTTTTTTTTTTAATATTTTATTTATTTATTTGACAGAGAGAGACACAGTGAGAGAGGGAACACAAGCAGGGGGAGTGGGAGAGGGAGAAGCAGGCCTCCCGCTGAGGGGAGAGCCCGATGCGGGGCTTGATCCCAGGACCCTGGGACCATGACCTGAGCTGAAGGCAGATGCTTAACAACTGAGCCACCCAGGCGCCCCATAAACTTCCAACTCTTGATCTCAGCTCATGATCTCAGGGTTGTGAGATTGAGCCCCGTATCAAGCTCCGTGCTGGGCGTGGAGCCTGCTTAAGACTCTCTTTCTCCCTCTGCCCCTTCCCACCCGCCCCCCAAAACAACAGCAACAACAACAAAGCACTATTCAGAGCTCAGAAATAAACTCATGCTTATATGGTCAATTAATCTACGACAAAGGAGGCAAGGATACACAATGAAGAAAAGACAGTCTCTTCAATAAATGGAAAACTGGGCAGCTACATGCAAAAGAATGAAACTGGACCTCTTTCTTACACCATACATAAAAATAAACTCAAAATGGATTAAAGACTTAAAAGATTAAGACCAGAAACCACAAAACTCCCTAAAAGAAAACATAGGCAGTATACTCCTGGACATCTGTCTTAGCAATAATTTTTGGATCTATATCTTCAGGCAAGGGCAACAAAAACAAACAATTGGGACTATATCACACTTAATAAAAGTTTTTGCATAGCAAAGGAAACCATCAACAACAACAAAAAAGGCAACCTACTGAATGGGAGAAGATATTTGCAAATGACTGATCTGAGAAGTGTTAATATCCAAAATATATAAAGAATTCATAAAACTCAACACCAAAAAACCCCCAGTGTGATTAAAAAATGGGCAGAGGACCTGAATAGGCATTTTTCCAAAGAAGATATATAAATGGCCAACAGGCACATGAAAAGATGCTCAATATCACTAATCATGATGGAAATGCAAATCAAAACCACAATGAGCTAACACCTCACACTGATCAGAATGGCTAATATCAAAAAGACAAAACAGGGGCACCTGGGTGGCTCAGTCAGTTAAGTATCTGCTTTCAGCTCAGGTCATGATCCCAGCATCCTGGGGTCCAGCCCCACACAGAGCTCCCTGTTCAGGGAGTCTGCTTCTCCCTCTCCCTCTGTGTGCTTGAGCGCATACACTTGCTCTCTCAAATAAATCTAAAACAAACAAAAAAAAGACAAGACATAACATGGTGAGGATGCAGAGAAAAGGGAATTGTTGTGCACTGCTGCTAGGAATGTAAACAGATGCAGCCATTAAGAAAAACACTATGGAGGTTCCTTAAAAAATTAAAAATAGAAATATCACACGATCCAGCAATTTCACTTCTGGGTATTTACTCAAAGAAAATGAAAACACTGGGCGCCTGGGTGGCTCAGTTGGTTAAGCGACTGCCTTCGGCTCAGGTCATGATCCTGGAGTCCCGGGATCGAGTCCCGCATCGGGCTCCCTGCTCAGCGGGGAGTCTGCTTCTCCCTCTGACCCTCCCCCCTCTCATGCTCTCTCTCATTCTCTCTCTCAAATAAATAAATAAATCTTTAAAAAAAAAAAAGAAAAAGAAAAAGAAAACACTAATTGTAAATGATATATGCTCAAAGTATCCATCAATAGATGAATGGCTAACAATGATGTGGAATATATATATACAATGGAGAATTATTCAGCCAAAAAAGTATGGAATCTTGTCATTTGCAACAACATGGACAGACCTAGAGGGTATTATGGTAAGTGAAATAAGTCAGACAGAGGAAGACAAATACCGTATGATTTCACTTATACGTGGAACCTAAAAAACAAAACAGATAAAGAAACAAAACAACACAGAAAAAGACTCATAAATACTGGGAATAAACCTGAAGCTGTAAGGGGAGGGGTGTGGGGGAGGTGGACAAAATAGGTGAAGGTGATTAGAAGGTACAAACTTCCAGTTATAAAACAGATAAATCACAAGGGTGTGAAGCACAGCATAAGGAATATAGTCAATAATACTGTAATAACTTTGTATGGTGACAAAAGGTAACTACATTTATCATGGTGAGCATTTCATAATGCATTTAAATATCCAATCACTATGCTCTACCCCTGAAACTAATATAATACTGTATCCCAGCACCCTGGGATCATGACCTGAGCCAAAGGTAGATGCTTAACCTTTTTTTTTAGATTTTATTTATTCATTTAACATACAGAGAGAGAGCGCACACAAGCAGGGGGAGTGGCAGAGGGAGAGGGAGAACAGATTCCCAACTGAGGAGGGAGCCCGATGTGGGGCTTGATCCCAGGACCCTGGGATCATGACCTGAGCCGAAGGCAGATGCTTAACCAACTGAGCCACCCAGGTGCCCTTTTTTAATATAGTAATAAGTTGCTATTAAAATAAAACTTGGGGGCGCCTGGGTGACTCAGTCGTTAAGCGTCTGCCTTCGGCTCAGGTCATGATCCCAGGGTCCTGGGATCGAGCCCCGCATCAGGCTCCCCGCTCCGCGAGAAGCCTGCTTCTCCCTCTCCCACTCCCCCTGCTTGTGTTCCCTCTCTCACTGTGTCTCTCACTGTCAGATAAATGAAATCTTAAAAAAAAAAATTTAAAATAAAACTTGAACCAAACAAGTTATTCTGAAGTCCTACCATGTACATTAAATGGAATTTTATTTGTGCTTTAATATTTTGCTCTCACATTAAGTCATCTTTTTCCATCTTGAAGGACAGCAAGGTTTAACATCAAGAGCTAAGACTTCTCTAAGTTGAATATAAGATCCATCAGTCCATTTCATGAGCCAGTATGATATAATTAATTTTAAAAACCTCATCCAAACTTATGCTAATAGACATTTAACACTCATTAAACATTTCCTTGGTTCAAGGCACTGATATGGATGAATCTCAAAAGCATAATGCTAAGTGAAAGAAATGAGATATAAAAAGACTACATTTTATATTATTCTACTGATAATGACATTTTAGAAAAGGCAAACTTACAGAGACAGAAAACAGATCAATAGTTCCAGGGGCTGGAGGGAGTTGGAGAGGACTAACTACAAAAGGCCATGAGAAAAATTTGGGAGGTGATGGAAATGTTCTATATGATAATTTTGGCAGAGACTGCATAACTGTGTATATATTTATCAAAACTCAAACATACTGTATACTTAAAATTGTTGAATTTTATTGTATGTTATATATATAAATCAAAGATTTTGTTTTTTTTTAAAGCACCCATCTTCCTTTTTTTTTTTTTTAAAGATTTTATTTTTTTTTAAGTAATCTCTACATCCAACATGGGGCTTGAACTCACAGCCCCAATATCAAGAATCCCATGCTCTACCGACTGAACCAGCCAGGCACTCCTCCATCCATCTTTC